CTCTCTCTCTCTCTCTCTCTCTCTCTCTCTCTCTCTCTCTCTCTCTCTCTCACACACACACACACACACACACACACACACACACACTAAATAAACAAATAAAAAGATAGTGGATTTGAATTCCAAGAACTCCTATTTTTAACGCATTCAGCAGAAGAAAATCTTTCAAACCGTTCAAATTTTCAAGGAAAAATTTTGACTTCCCCTTTGTGAAGCTTGCATGCCCCATTCTTTACAAGCTCAGAAACTGATCTGCATTGCCCAGAACAACAGGAAGGAGAGCTGGAAAGGAATGAACAGGCAGTGAGAATATACTACAAGGGAGAGGGTCAGGTCTCTCTACAGACAAAGCCAGACCATGGGGGTTCCTCTTTCCCTTGACATAAAGAAGTTTCTGGGTATCCCTGGGTACTTATCTATAGGAAGAAAACAAGAATACTAGCATAAGGTCCCTCAAATTCCTGCCCTTACAGTGGCACAGCATCTAGCCAGGAAGATTTAAAGAATGATCACCATTGTCAAGGCACAGCTGGTATGGTCTACCCTCTTCCTGGGGGCTGTCTATAGAAGTCCCACCCCACCCCACCCCCACCTATTGTTGCCCAGACCAGCAGGGTTCAGCAAATGCCTTTGTGAGCATTGGGAGCTTGTTCTTATGGTCTCATACAGTCATCACGTCCATGACAACTGTTTGTCAGGACTCCGCATCAGCCCATAAAGAAACACCTGACTTGCAGCCCACACACCTTTCATTGTTGCACGAATATGGTTTCCTGGGAATTGTCTGTGTCACTTCGCACGCGTCTAGAATGTACCCATATGTAAGAGGAATGCACAAGTTACTCATCCCTCCCCAAAGCAAACCTAAATAAAAACCAAAGCCAGGCTGGCGAGATCTCTCAGCGGGTCAACATTCTTGCCACAATGCCTCAAGACTCCAGTTCGATTTCTGGGATTCACACGGCAGAGGGAGAGAACCGACTCCCACGGTTGTCCTCTGAACTTCATGTCCTCTGAACTTATGGTTCAAGTACAGTTCCCGTACCCCCCCCCCCACTCAAGGCCACACATTTGTGGACACACACTAAACAAATACATAGAAATGCAACTAAAAATTTGTAAGCAAAAAAAAAAAAATGAATCTTTTGAAATATGCTTAGTACATTCTCACGCCACTTCCTCCCAGGAAGGAAATAGGTGAAGGTGGAAATCACGGAGTCACTGACCCACCATTTCTAGACTCCTTAAGCAGACACTTTTCCAGTTACATTGCACACAGTCTGTACCCTACATTTCAGCGGGTACCCCACAACATAATGAAATCATCCTATGATTGTCCTTTGCTTCAGACGTTTTAGTTCTCATACCTGCGGTTCCTTCCACGTAAACTGAGATGGGGGTGGAAATGGAATGGCTGTGGTGAGACACACGATTCTCCTGATTGCCTGGCATGCTACCATACATGCTTAAGTAAGAAACCATCGCAAAAAAAAAAAAAAAAATCTTTCCCAAAGAGCATGAAAACAAATAACGAAAAAGGAGGCGACCAAAGCCCAAAGACTGGCTCCTACCTCAAAGTCATTTGCTTTGTTGTAGTGCATGTTGAGGGCTCGGTACAGCTCACAGTCTCTGGTGATGGACAGCTCTTCGGTGCTGGTGACCCCATCGTTGATGGCTTGACGCGCATACTTCTCCATCTGAATATAGTAAAACTCACGGAAATTGCTGAACCACTTGATGAGCTGGGAGGTAATGCATCTGTTGAACTGTTAAATTTAAATGTTGAAAACGGTGAGCATGCGGCTGCTCTTTTGTTAGCTGACTTCGCGTAAGGATCAGTATCAGAAGCAATTTTAATGTTTCCCTCCCCATTTTACCTGGAAAGCGAGGTGGTAAGTGCCACCAAAATGGTGGCAAGAGGAACAACCATTCTCACAGAGTATTCAAAGGTATACTCATGACAGAAACCACACCACTGCCCTCGCTCAACACCACGCAAGTGGAGAAGCCATAGTCTAAGCAGGATTTTCCACGGATGGGTTATCTTTTATTTACAGAAAAACCCCCTGCTCTACCTTCAGCAGAGGGCAGGCATCTGCTTACTGCATGGAGACCCACTGGAGCCAGAGTCCTAGGCAGAGCTGGTCCTTCCAAGCTCCACTATGACGTCAGCAGCAGCCGGACGTGTGTGTGTGTATGTGTGTGTGTGTGTGTGTGTGTGAGAGAGAGAGAGAGAGAGAGAGAGAGAGAGAGAGAGAGAATGGGTGTGTGTATGATTGTATGTAATTGTGTGAGACTGTGTGTGACAGTGCGAGTATAGGTGTGCAGGTGTGTGTGTGTGTGTGTGTGTGTGTGTGTCTGTAGATTGAAGACAGGCCTCATGATGCTGGATACATGCTCTACCCCTGCACTATATCCATAGCCCTGTGTATATATTTTAAATAAGAATTTCTATCACTACGTGGCAATCGTATTCAATGAGGGAAACCTGCTTTTCTCTAAAATGGTAAGACTGGTTTGTGCATAGGTTTTGGTGCTGGGTGACCCGATGTCCACGTCTCTGTAATCCATCCATTTTAGAGTGTGCCCACAGAATTTACTTCCAGTGTGGTCTGGGGAAACCCTGATACCTGTTCCTGTGCTCTCTGCAGCCAGGACTTGAAAGGCCCATGGCCCCTTCCCTGGCCGGCCTTGTTGTCTGGGAGGCGTGGTTAAGACACAGTTCACAGATGGCAGAGACAGGACCTTTATTACGTTTCTTTTTAAATGCCACGTTACTATAGCATGATTGGGCTTTAAAAGTCTGTTTACCCAGGTTTCCCAACAACCTTTGAAATGAAGATGTCTTCCTGGACGGGCAATGGTCCCATCCTTATTGACTGCTTTCCTCATGAAAAGGACAGGTGTGTCCTAACTTGCCAAGTCAGAACCAATAAATCCATCGCTTTCTACAGGTCAGGCTGACAGACACCCCTGCCTTTTGCCATTAGGTCCATTCCCTTCCCTGGGCCCCCAGAAAAGGGAGTTCATCCATCAAATATCAACAAGGAACACTTATCAAACCCTGGCCCTGAGAATCTCCAGGCTGCAAGAAGCTGACAGCTAAAGTGTGTGGGGGGCTGTAATTACGGCAGAAAGTTGTTTCTCTACCAGCACAGATAACCAGCGAATGAAAATTTATGGCGGAGAATAGAAGTCAGAAGGAAACAGAAGCAGGGGACTGGTGTTCCTCCCAAAAGGCCATCTTGCATCCTAATTGCCGTGGAGTTGCAAGGGCCCTTACAGATAATTGAACAGAAAATGATTAAGTCATCAGCAAACCGCTTCTGCTTGCAAGAGTTCAAACATGTACTTAACCTGTCCAAGAATTATATTTTCACTCTGTGTGCCTGCTCTGTCTCCGTTCAGCCTCGCGGGGAACCCGATTAGAAAGACAACTGAAGGACCCCCGTTATCTGATCTTCTGGTGGCCGATTTCAATAGAACTTAAACCCATTACGATTTGCTGAACTTGGACTTCTTTCCATCTTATCTGAGCAGTAAAATACACTGTCCAAATTTCCAGACACTGAGATAAGGCCTACAGGCCCCCGTGACGGCTAACTGTTCCTTTTTAATTCTTTTAGAACAAGAAACAAAACACTACAAAATGATAGCAGGCTGGGCACTGGGGAATGAAAATTGCTTTGACATGGAGATTAGGCCTCTGTATTGTTACAAGACATTGTCTCATATGGACAAGAGTACTGTAGGGGGAAAAAATAGAGGGGCATTTTTTTTTTCTAGAATGGTCATGAATGACCTAATGGAGGGGGACAAAAAAGTAAGTGCGCTTGCCATTATGAACGAACGGGACATAAAGGGAGATTTAAAGTGTATTGTTGGAGGCTGGAAATACCAGAGAGAGAGAATGGGCAGAAACAACAGACTCCAAACACGAGATAGGCAAACTGAGCCGTGTCCACAGCTCCGAGAGCGGGGCTTTCGCCGCCACCAAGGGGAAACGCAACGTGTTTTGCTTTCTGTTCCTGACTAAGAGCAAAACGCAAGCAGCCTGCTCTCTAGATCTTCATGTGGAAGGAGGAAAAGAATTCAACTTTAAAAGAGTTAATTCCGCGTGCTCTGTGTAGCGCTTTACGAGCAAAGGATCAATTGTTCTATAAAGGCAAGCTCTGTAGTGTGCTAATGTGTTACTGCAAAAACTAATCGCTTCAATAAAGAGGCTGTGTTTCCAGAGTGTACGAGCCTCTGTGACTTTGATTAATACTTCCCACGGGACATCTCAGCCTCAATATGGGCTGGAGAAACTTCCTAAATATTCAATGAGCATGGTCAAAAGATGTATAAAACAAATCAACCTGACACCTTAATCCGGCTAGGCAGCAGTTGACTCAAGGGGTGGAGGGAACGAGATACATCATTTAACACGGCAGGCTTGAAAGGCTGTGAACGCCTGCTCCTCAAAGCTGAGATGACACCGAATCTGTTGTGCTTAGTGGTCTAGGAGTTATTGGTGTGTATGTTAAAATCACCCAGTGGTGACCGGGAAGCCAGGGAGGCCCTTCCACCCTGGCATCTCTTGCACAATTCACAAACTTGTTCTCAATGGACCTGAGAACAGGATGAGGAGAGCTGTCTGTGAAGTGTCCTTGGGAGGGAATGGAGTCTCCGAGAGAACACAGAACTCTCGATTCTCACTGGAGCAGTTAAGCTAAGGTGGCCCAGGATTTGTCTCTCGTGTCCATCATCCCTGCACAGCATCTCTGAGGGCCTATGGCCCCCTTCTAACTCTTCTCCTGGGTGACTGAGTGCACCTACCGCCTTCCACAGTGGGAGCTACTTGGGAATGGCCAGCAGTGGTCCAGGCCTGGAGGGAGATAGGAAGTCATGTGCCTCACTTGGTTTCAGCTCACCTTCAGAAGGAGAAGCTCAACCCAGCACCTGATCTCCAGCCATGGCTATGGCAGACATCTTGTGAACATCTAACTCAAGAAATTAAACGGTTTCTGTATGCACTGTTTCTCCTGCTTGTTTTCATGGCAAAACTAACGCATAGTCACTATTTGAAGTGGAAAAGACTCAACAATTTGAAAGAGTATATCTTATTAGGGTTAGGACTTTTTTTTTTAAATGAATGTGCCAAACCAAGTGATGTATGTCTTTTTCAAGAAATATAATCAAGTGGTATTTCTGATAAAAGTCTAGAATCTCTTTGTCAATTTCTAGGGGTCTCTCAGTTCTGAAATGGCTTCTTGAATCTTAACTATAGTAAAACTTTGCCCTGTGTATCCATACATAGCACAGTATCTGTTTCTTTTAGCCTTAAAAAGAAACAGGTAATGACTGTATGTAGATATATGTGATCAGCGTAACAGACACATGCTTGTACATGAGCAGGGAATCAACAAGACATGGAGTCACCGAGCTTTCGGGAACTTGGGCTGCTCTGCACTGTCTTCTCAAAGTTCTGGAGTGCTTCGTTTCCATTGGCTCCTGTGCTCATCACCCAAGCATCACTCTCATAAGCTCAAGGAATACAAATTCATTTATTACTAGCCAAATTGAGAGTTGTAATTAGGAAACTTAAAAAATGGATAATTCATTCCAAAAATGAAAGAGAGATGACCTTTGGTGGCCTTCTGCTGTGGGTCACACAGGCTGCTGTTGCCTTTCATTACAGAGGGTAATTATTATTCAACTAAACTCACACAGACTTTAGCCGCTATCCCTCCTAGTGGGGTTAAAGTATGGATAGAATTTATAATTGAATATTAGTGCATTTAAAAATAAAACATTTACCTAGGTATTTGATCATGGCTTGGGCAGAGTAAGTGAGTCCATGTGCAGCTGACTCACTGGCTGCATTCTGAGGGAACGAGAAGCTTCTTTTCCTCAGATTTATCTTAGTCCCTCGGCATTCATGCAAATACACAGAACTAGGACATTATTAATGTCCGTATCTACTCCTGAGTAGTGCTGTTTGACTCAAAATGGTTTGGGTTTTCTATCCCCACACCCTGGGAGGCTCATTTCGCTACGGTGTGACCAGTGTTTAAAAAGTTCTTTGGTCTGTCTCTGAATGGAAGGTGCTATAGAAAAACATATGAGACAATGTCATAACATTATAAAAATGCGACAGATCATGGCATTTTTATATGAGAGGGCTGAACCAGGAGGTAACAGGACACATGCATGTGTGCACATGGCACACACAATTATAACCCTCCTTGTCTCCTTTTTAGAGCCAAAGTCAGGTTGGCCAGCTTCTAGAAGGCTTTTAGGCATATCCAACTGACAACCAAGGAGAGCTACAAATGTAGGCAAGGTTACTAAAAACATTATGAAAATTAATTTTGTGATGTGTGTGTTTATCATTACTGCTAAACTAAAACTCAGGTCTTGAGTAGGAACTTTGAAAATGGCAATGCCCTGTCCCAGTGTCAAAAGGTTGGGCATGCCTGTGAATGAGACTCACACTGGCCAGCTCTCAACCGCTTGTTCCAACCAATAGGTCCACTGTAGAGCGCCACCCACCAAATCCACGTTCTTTCCCTGACCCCCTATGGCACCAGCCTTTTGTGTGCCTATGGTTCCTTTCCCAGCCTTAGGCTACTTTCCCCATCCTGTCCAGTTAGTTGGATGAGGAAAAGAACACACCTCCCACTTAAGCAACACAGCAAGAGAGAAAAAGCTGAAGTTAATACACACTTCAGAAGCAAACAGGAAGGAAAACAAAACTTCTCCTTTAAGGCCAAATTAAATATTAGTGACAGAAACCAACATGAACTGGCCTGCCAAAATGCAGCCGCAGGCTCAGCTTGGGCCTGAGATGCAGGCAAGCCATGAGTGAGGGAGAGTTGGAAAACAAGCACATCTTGGTGGCTTGTGAGACCTGGGTTGAAGAAATCAGAACTTGTATACACTGAGGTAGGCAGGGGAAGGGTTGGGGGGCCCACCCAACCCCCCGAAACCCAACTCAACTAATGTAATGTTTATCAAATTCCTTGGATAATGATACCGTGAGTGCCATTATAATCACCAAAGCCCAATCTATGTTTTAAAAAAGTTATACACGATTAGCACAATTCCAAGTTGATGCAGATAATTACTTTAAACCCACATACAACACACATACAAGCACATGCGCGAGCACACACATGCACACACACACACACACACACACACACACATGCACATGCATGCACACACCCCCAGAGAGAACCAGGAGGTCCCAGTATTCTGCAGAATGAGGGGGGCTGCAGCTGTAGGCCGACAGCTTTCATATCCTCATTTGAATAATGTGTCCTGAATCTGTCACTTTATTCATTTCCCCTTATGCTCCGTGTACTCTACATCAACAACAAATTAAGTTGTAAATAAGAGACAATCATCACTTTTGTTTCTAAGCAGCTACTGCATAGAGAATTTCAGCGTTCACTCCTTTCGACAGGAGGCGAGGAGGTGCTGAGAGTTAGCGTTCAGAGGCACACATACAGAGAAACCAACAAAAACAGAAACAGTTTACTGATGCAGACGGGGGTGGATTTTTCCCCCTGGAACATCCAGACATTACCAAGAGAGATTTCATCCAGGGAACTACTAAAACACGTAAAGACAGAGGCAAAGTCTCCTGGACCGCACTGGTCACGCATGCGACGTGGGAAACAACCTCAGGTCTTAATAGACAAGTGGTACTTTTGCTTCGCACCTTTAGAGGAAAAGGACAAGCATGGCCAACCATCCACGCCCAGGCATCAGCGGAAGTCGACCCCACACTCATCTCCATTAACTCCCAAGAGTCCAGACCACGGCTGCACCCACAGACAACGGAAGAGGGGGAACAAAAGCGGCCCCTACCTTCACATCAGAGAAGTAGGTCTTCAGCATGTTGGAGCTGGGGTAGCGGGTGTAAAAGAACATGAGCTTTGCCTTTTTCAAGTGATTGGGTGACAACCCTTCCTGCATGTAGGATGCAATCAGTTAAGGCACAAACAAGGTTAAACAAAAGGGGTTATCCCTCCTGTCCCCATCTCCACACATACTCAGAGAGCCTGGAGATCCCACAAGCCTGGGAAAGCTGGGTGGTCATCCATATGGGTTGTGGAATCCATCACTAACTGGCCACCTTGCTCTCAGAATGCTCGCTGCCTGTCTTGGATTGCCGAAGGGAATGGTTAGGAGGCTCAATCGGTGGCGTATTCTTGGCTACTTCCTGATGAGGATGGCCAAGCCCTCCTCCTCCATTTGAAGTCCAGTATGCTATCCATACAATTCACTTGTTGCTAAGGAGACGGACCAGCCTAACACCACTGCCGGAGGCTTACATAGGAGCCGTGCTCCTTGTCTGCAGTTCCATTCTGTTTGCCTTTACTGCAGTTTGCCTCGGGTCATCACACCGACCTAGGCAGAGCTACACAGCACGTTATTCTGCACATGATCATGCAAGCCCCATGTTCCCCCTCGTAGCAGTCACAGCGAGGCTTCAAGACTCAGTTTCTTCCTATCTTATTTCGATCGTCTTTGAACTGTTTCTTTTAATGGTAATTCAAGCTTGGGAGGGGTAGTCTGGCAGGACAGAGCAAGGAGTGTGGTGTTGCTTTTGTTAAGGCAATGGTTCAACACCAAATACAATTTGCCCATCCTGGATTTATAGTTAACTCCTTTGAGAATGACACAGTAGTCGGGGGCTAACAAATCAATACATGTGGGTTAGTGGATCAATAAGTAGCCACTTACCCCAAATAAGAAGGCCTATTTATCTAGAAACATCGTCACCTTTTAGATCTGTAAACAGCGGCAAGGAAAACAGTTCCCAGGAGAACGGGAGGCTAACCATAACAATCCAGGCTGCCTGATTCTCTCTCAGATTCTTGGCACTCCTCAGCAGGCTCTGAGCTGGGATGGCTCTGGTCACATCTGCGCCGCAGCCTGGCCCTGCCATTTCCTCAGCAAATTAATGGCTTTATAATTTATCAGAGATGAAGATGCACGTGGAGAAAATCAATGTGGTCCCCCACAAGGTCAATTAAGGGTCCTTCCTAGAGGTTCCTCTAAGGACTCTCTCTTAAAAGAGAGTGGGGAACAAATAAAGGTGGAAAACAGAAAAGCAAGTGTGTGTGTGTGTGTGTGTGTGTGTGTGTGTGTGTGTCCCACACATGGGAAGCTACCCGGTAAAAATCTCACACCTTAGGAAGAAAGGTCAGGTAAACAGACATTTGGGAAAGAGAACAGGTTCCCAGTGACCTCCATTAGGAATGGCACTATGAGTTGCAGGAATAGTGGGGAACCAGAAAGGATCTAGAGATGTACAATCAAATTAATATTGATAAGCTCTTGGCTACTCCTGACCAGACACTCAGCCGTGAATGTGTTCTGGGGACATCCTCCTTTATATCCTATGTTGTTAAAGAGAAAAAAAAAAAGAGAAAATAAGATTGACGTTTTTTAAATAGAGAAGTTAACTATAGTGGTTCTCTCTCTCTCTCTCTCTCTCTCTCTCTCTCTCTCTCTCTCTCTCTCTCTCTCTGTGTGTGTGTGTGTGTGTGTGTGTGTGTGTTTAACTGAGAATAAACACCGAAGAAAGAAATTTTGATTTTTCTATGTGGAAGCCAAAGCAGCTTAACTGGAGTTGTGTTTTTGTTTAAGGCCCTTAATGATCACAAAGACGGCAATTTATGGCTGACATACTTGTTGTGCCAAGGAAAAGCTGAAAGGTCCCGCAGTAACCTCCATTAGACTGATGGAGACAACGAAAGGAGCCGGGCACTTCAGGACCATCTGCCCAAACGGATAAGTGAAACCTCAGTCGCAAGCTGCTCCCAGCCTCACGATAAGAGTTTTCAAACGAGCCCCAACTCGGGTGAATATCTCCGATCTGGGCTCTAATCTTTTCTCTCTTAGGGCCCTGCCTATGATTCTAAGTCCCAAATCTTGTAGATTTGGTCTCATACAAAAGACAAACTGTTTGGCCATGTGTCTAAGAAAGGCAGAGAGCTGCCCAAATACCCTGGGGCTTTCCATGCATCTAAATTTTGCTAGGATATTTTAGCTTTTTGTATTAAAAAAAATCCATTCCCTTTTTAAATCAGAATTTAGAGACTCTTTATTTAATGAAAAAAATTAAAACATTATTTTGATCCAGATTACTCAAGATTTTGTTTCAAGATGTTTCTGGTTGGTAATACCTGGCACCATCTGCCCAAAGAGAAACAGACCCTGTCTCTGTCCCTTGCGATCCTTGTGTAATTAAGATAAAATTCTCATAAAATATATGTTTCTAATAAACTATTAAAAATAGCTAATGAAACATTTAAAAGCCAGCAGTTAGATAATCCTTTTTTTTTCCTCCTCAGAATCAATCTGAACTGACCAATTGGTTAATTTCCCTTTTAAGTGCTTGCGCTGAAAGCAACTGCTCTTCCAAGAAGGCACTGGCAGTTTCCAGGATACTTACACACGCACAATGACTCACGATGGAATAGATTCAGTAAACATACAGCTGTACTGAACACGAGCTAAGCTCCATTCAAGGCCAGGAAAGAAAATGAGCACAAATAAATATTAAGGAGGTGAAGGGGTGGGGGAGGGGAGGGGTGCAAACAAGCGCTGTCCCGGCAGCTCGCGCGGCTCCCCTCCATTCTCTGAGCCTCAGCTTTGTGAAGACAGATGACATCCAATTCTATGTGCAATGCAAAACAGACAATAACTGCAGAAACTTGAGACGGCTGCCAGGTGTAAAAAAAAAAGGAAAAAGAAAAAAAAGAAAAGATGATAAATCCATAAATTAATGAAAGACATCTGCTTGGCATATAAAGGCTCAGGGAAGGAGCGGGGTACAGCTGGACCTGAGAGTCCAAACAACCTGAGATTCTCAATGCGGTTTGTTTACCAAGCACAATATAACCTTACCTAAACAGCAGCCGTAGGAACAGCTCAGGCAGCAAAAAGGCAAATGCAAGAAGAATAGGCCCTGAAGGCTACAGGAAGAAAAAAAATTCCCCTAGTTGAACTCTGGGTTTTAAGCTGCGGTTCCATACAGGGAAGAGGGTTTTCCCATTTTCTAAACACTTTGAAACGGGAAGAAGTTTCCTTCTCTGATTTGTTCTGGGACTTCCCTGAGAAAATTCAACGGATGGAAAAGAGCTAAGCTCTCCTTTAGCGACAGTAATAGAGCAGGCTGCCACTCTCCTGGGAGTCTGACGTCAGAGAGCTGGGTAGGGGGTAGGGTTTTTTTGTTTGTTTGTTTGTTTGTTTGTTTTAACGACTTCGTTTTTTTTTTTTTTTCCTGGAGATGGTTAGGTGCCTATGGTCATTCAGGATTTCATCTATGTGTTAAATTCTGAGGGCCTCCAAAGCTTCTAAAAATGTCGAAGATCACACTCACATGTATATTCCCAGCATGAGGGGTGCTGAGGCAGGAGAATTGCTGTGACCTCAAGGCTAGCCTAGGCTACATAGTGAGACTTTTTCTCTCAACAAACCAAAAGGAAGAACAACAACAAAACAACCATCATTTTAAACTGGTGTTTCATGTTGGACTTCAGTTTGTCTCGTGAAACGGTTTTCCCTTCTCAACCCCAAATATTCCCAGGACATTCTTTATTCTTTGCACATGTCAAGCCTTCTCAGAGAACGGGCTGAGGACCTCCAGCCGCATATCTCTTAATGGTTCATCTGACAACCTCGTGCTTGAGCTCGGTGGATGCAAATGTGAAAGGCACACACAAGGCTATTTTTCTTGAGATGCAAAGAAGATGAGAGACAAGGAGCGTCACAAAGAGAGACAATTGGCTAGCGATTCTTCGGGAATTTGACTATAACTTAATATTTGATTAAACGGATCCATTTGCAAAGACAGTGAACACACTGTTTTATACCCAAGACACAAGCTCTTGGACCAGGTGTCCTGAAGTTCCAGTGGACACGAACACGACCGCAACTTCCTTCCTTCTAGGGGGACTACAAGGCCGTGAGCCTTTCAAACACAGATGACAGACATGTTCCACGGAGCCTGGAGCCATGCAAGAACCTGGTAGTCAGCACCAGTCTTTATCATGGCCACTGCATTGAGAAACAGGAAGGCCCTTTGGAGTAAGAAAGGCGTGTTCTTGAAGGGGGAGATTACGTAGCCCTGGAGTGATTGTTCACGGGGCAGGTTCTTCGCCTAGCATGGAAAAGACCCTGGGTGCAATCCCTAGCAGGCTGAGGGTCTAAAAATAAAAGTTATTCACGACAGTTTAAAGAACTCTAAAAGCACAGTAATGATTGGCGTGTACCCTCCCAACACACTTCTACTCGCTCCATCGCCACCATCCCCCTAGGGCCGTGTAGTCTAAAAACTGAAGTTAAACATTCCTTGCTGCCATTCCTCAAGATTTTATTAATCAAAGCTTGAGATCCCCCCCACCCTGTCTAAAAGAGAACAAACAAAATGGTCCGTAGAGCAGACGTCTCAGGCAGGTGAACCATGCCTATGTGGGAAGAGGATTTTCCTGCCGTGGCTTGTCTGTCCTTTCTTCTGACACCCAGACCTAGTGACAAGCTGGCCGGTCACAGGTACAAGGGGTAGAGGAGAGTGGAAACCCAGAGGTTAGAAGGCCAAAGTGTGGGAAACAGAATGGCTAATTAGAGCAAGAGGCCCAAGGCCGTGGAGCCTGGAGGAAGGAAGCAGCTCCAGATACAGAAACCTGGATTTCGGGCCAACATGGGGGTCTCCTGCCACCACTGTTCGGAGGGGGCTCTATGCAGCAGGAGACAGGAAGAGTCTCTCTGCACAAGGGACTCCTTTTTGTTCGAATCCTCAAAAATCCTCAGGGGGTTTAGAGAGAAGGACGGCATAGTGAGCTTAGTGGACACTCAAAGCAAACCAACACCTTTTCTCTCCCTGGAAAACAAGCTCACAAAGAACGGGGGCATACCTACAGCTGTCCACCATGAGTCCAGGTCCAGACTCGGAAACTGCTGTCATCAGTGAGACTTTTCTGTGGACACCCAGGACTTTACAACCCAACTTAACTGGCCACCAAGATGACGGTGTGTTACTGGGAGGGGGGCACAGCTACTTTACTATGTGATTTAAAATACAGTTCTCTGAGGTGCGAGGAGTCTAGCCTTAGACATAAATCGGTCTAACAGGACCACATTCTTGGGTAGATTGGCAACTGCTCAAATGTTCCTACCTTCTTCCCTTCCCTTCTTCCTGCCCAGCAGCTCTGCTTCAGTCGCTCTGAGCAAAATGCACTGCCAGCTGGGGGTACGGGGCACAAGTGCGGGGCTCAACTTTTGGTGCACTGAATGCCAGCTTTTGGGAAACTGCGACTGGCCTGTTTGGAAAACTGCAAACAAGCTCGGATCTAAGACCTTGGTGTCTTTGTCTTTGCCTGAGACGTTCTTGTCTTCATCAGGGTGGGAAGAGATTCTTGGGCTCAGTGGCCCAAGAGGTCTCATGCTTGTGGCTTCGGCTCACTTTACCAGTGGCTGCCCTGGAGGAATGAGAGCATCCTTCTATCATTCTGGGGACTTGGGACTTTGGTGCGGCCTCTGGAGTGAGCTCTGCTGCTAAAATGTCAACCTCTGTTGTCAAGATTATTGCTGAAAATCCTCAAATTAGTAACAGCCAACTTAATTGATAAATTTTATATCTTCTGCTAATTTATTATACAAGAGGCATGTCTCTACCTGCCCCCAAATGTTACTATCCCCCTGCCCAAGACAACCACAAAATTGAAAAAAAAAATATTGAAAGGACTGATTGACAGAAGAAAAAAAAAGTTATGGATTAAAAATCATTGGCGTACAGGACAGATCTGCTAAAAATATAATTGACATCTCTACCTAAGAGTTAGGGTCAGCATGGAGAAGCTCCACGAGAGGGGCCATTTTTAGATAGCCGAGTTTTGGATTTAACTGTGTTCTCTCGTTTTCCAAAATAATTTGCTTTGTGTATGTCAGGACAAAAGATTTCTGTGTTTGGCTGAGCAGAGGTCACTCATGCGTACAAGCAGCTGCCCCAGACCACAGAACAGACCTTGGTGATACAGAGAGGCTAACGCTGTCGGAATACATCAGTACCTGCCCATTTCCTTTGAAAACGTTTCAAAATTAAAGACAGAATGCAAGCCCTCCTCACAACCATCACTGTCCCACAGCCTCGGCAGTGGTGTCCTGGCCTTCCTGAGATCTAGTCACACCTCTGCAGCCACGGTGGCCTCCAGAGCAGATGGCAGTGAGGATTCTGGATGGAATCACAGGCCTGAAAACTGGCTTGTCTCCTCATCTCTGTCCTGAAACTTACCATCTTTATAAAATTCAGGATTTACAAGGTGTCGTACGCCTCCCCAACTCCATCTGCTCTCCAGAAAGGAGACAAGAATGCCACAAGGAAGGAAGGCAGAGGAGAGCACTGCTGGAGGACGGCCTTAGAGACAGTTCCTAGGGGCAATTACGCACTTGTCAAAGTTGCAGGGATGCTGGAGTTAGTTTTTAAGTTTCTCTGCAATCAGAAACACCCAGTGTATGGATCCCACAAGCCTATTATGTTGAGTATTAGGAAAGACTACATTCTTAAGAAGGTACTGGCTGTGCATTACTGTGCATACCTGTCATCTGAACACCTCAGGAAACCCAGGCCAGCCAGGGCTACAAGAGTCAAACCCTGCCTCAAAGTCCCCAAACCCAAACAAAACCAAACCCCACAGAACATGCCAAAAACCATACTGACATAGGTCACCCTAGACATCCTGTGTAGTGTGGGCGGCTACGCTTGTGAGGAGTACCTCCTTTGGGCTTTTGGTTATGTTTGTTCTCGAGGAGAAAGATAAAAGGATATTGCGCCTCCCGAATAAGGTGAGATGTCGGACATATCTTGAAGATCGCCACACTCAGACTTTATGAGTGACAAAGACAGTCCTTCTGCGGTGCTGGGTGGGTGTGCTGGTGAACAGGGGTGGTGGCTCAGATGGTGGGACGACATCTTGGTCCTCAGACTCGTCGTGTCCCTAGTCAAGTCTAAGGACTCGGGAGAGGCTCTGTCTTTTCCCGAGAAGGAGCCAGAGGGAGCACCTAGTGGACTCTGAAATGGGTAGGCCATCAAGGGCAGGGGAAAGGGATGGCGGAAGCTAGGGGTGGTGAAGCCAGCGGTGGCAGAGAGAGGTGACTGGTGCAGGGGCTGGTGGTGGCCACCGGTGGTTGGGCCGGAGGCGGATTGCTCGGATGAGTTTTTGCGGACCACCAGGGGAAGTGCTTCTGTCTGGTCTGTGGAACTGGGCATCTGCACATTGCCAAAGGTGTCCAGGGGGTTCGGAATGATGACGTCACCAAAGCATTGCAGGCGCTGGTTGGCCGTATGGAAATTGTGGTTTTCCCCATTGACTGCGAATCTGGCCTGGGGGATCTGGAGAGGTGGGAAGACCTGAGGAACCTGGCGAGAGGGTTTGGCTGAGAAGACTTTGACCACCATGTCCACGACCTGTGACATGGCCGTATTCAGCTCCTGTTTTAACGTCTCTGCCAGATGCTTGCCTTCTGGCTGCAAGGAGTTTGGCCCGTGGTCTCTTTCTTTGTTGCTGCCTTCTCGCTTGGGCTTGTTCTCAGCCATCTCCTGCTCCCTGATTAGGGCTCGAGCCCTGTCAATGAACTGCCCCGGGTCCAACTCACACATCTCATTGTCTGAGCGCCCCACCGAGTCCTGGGCCCGTGCATCCAGGATCTCCGATCGCATGCTGTCTTCAGACAGGTCGCCATCTTCATCATTTTCAGAGTCGGTGCTGTCATAGACCTGGTAGAACTTCTCCTGCAGCTGGCGCAGCTGCTTCTGCATGTCTTCCAGCTGCTGTTTCAGCTGTCGGCGCTCCTCTCGCTTCTGTTCTTTTCGGGCTGAAACCAGCTGCTGGAAACTCTGTTGCTGCTGCTGGGGCAGCTTCTGCTTGCGTTTGTTTTCTCTGTAACTTTCTCGGGGACTAACAGACTGCGGGGCCATCTCTCTTTCATTTTCATTGCCCCTTAATGCCACACTGGGGGAATGGCTCATACCCCGGATGATATTCTCAACCCGGGCGCGCTTTGCTCTCAGGTGCTCATCGCATAAGCGATCCACATCAAACTGGCTCATAGTAGGCCTGCCAAAAGGGGAAAGACACTCTGGGGGGCTGTCTCTGGAAGAGTTGCTGCATATATCCTCCTGATGTACTTCGGAGCCTGTGCTGGAGAGACCGCTGGCTTGGAAACTGGGCTCGGTGCCACCGTTTTTGTTCATGTTATTTTTCAACAGCTGGGAAATTATAGTTGCTCCTGGAAAAGGCATCATGGCATCTTCATACGAGTTTGCCCTCTTCAGCAGCTTGCGGAGTACGTTCGACTTTTCCCCATCTGCATGTTGCACCACAGAATATTCAACATCCTGCTCTGAGCCTTGGGGATTCATGGCACTGAAAAATGTTGCCCTTGCCTTAGCAAAAAATGCAGATGCTGTCCCTACCGTCCTTTTCACTCCGATGTCAACCCTTCTCCTCTTGGTTTGCCGGCTTAAGAGGGCTGTGCTGTCATGGTCAGGCATCACTGGACAGTTATTGTGCCATCTTCAAAAGCTCGTCAGCTGGGCACAGCTCAAGAATCCCGGGACCCTGGCCAACAGAACAAAAGGACTGATGAATCATTTTCTTTAAATTTCTCCAAATTTCCTGACCTCAATCCTGAATCCAATGCAAAATGCATAGGCTCTGGGATTTATGGCACATCACAATTATTGCAATTTATCATGAACTCCGCTTGAAATGAAACATTTTTAAATATTTCTGCTCCACTGGTTTAAGATGGATTAAGATTAAAAAAAAAAAGCAAAAACTGCTTAAGCACCAGTAATATGATTCTCTTTCACAAATGCCTAAAATGATACTGTTTATCTTCGGAAGAAATGGCAGATTATAAGAACACAGCCTCTGACGAGCAATTGATTAAATTTGGGGGCATTAAGATTCTTATTCTAAAAGAAGAGGGGCATGGGTTACACTTAAGAAACAGGGCTAAATTTTGAGGCCGTGCAGAATTTGGATAAAGATCTGATCTGGAAAGCACTGTGGTTTTCATGTTACTGAAGGAAGGGAAGACTTGGATAGATGCAGATATTTAGCACACACCTTTATTACTGAATTTAAAAATCACTCTTGTCATATGTGCAATGGGACGAAGGCAGCAACCAGTACCTTCCAGGCATTCCTGGCCTCTTAAGCACTGAGATAAAGGCAGATCCTCATTGTTCAGTGCCGCTTACTTCACACAGTGATGGGTTTGGGTCAGGGAATTCACAGGAGAAAATAGTATCTGTTGCTGCATCTACACATAACAGAGAGATGTTTGGAAATGGTCGCAGTATTCTTTTCAGTGACTATAATTGTTAGAAAGTTAAGATTCGCTGTCGCCACATTTTGGGAGCCAATATGTATAACCCTGCACTACTTGACCAGGCAAGAACACACACATCTTTAGTACCAATTTTGTTCTGGTAAGATCTGCCAAAACAGTACTTCAAATGACTAAGAAACTCTTAAACACACACCATTTGTAAATCTTGATGCTTACACCAAGGAAAGGAGGGGGGGGGAGAGCTAAACAGAAAAAGCAACTGGAGAAACATATAAAAGAAATAAAATATCAATCAAATATATGAGAAAGGAAAATGACTTCTTTGTACAGGAGCTAGCATTGTTTTAGGGGCAAGGTATAAAAAGAAAACATCCTTGCTTACATTTTATCAAAGGCCCTGGATACATTGTGTCACTTAGTAACTAGCTCCAGATTTTATATGCATGCACAAGACAGCACTTCTTTTTGTTTACAATTAACGTTTTATGAAGAAAATGAAAATACTGCCTTCATGCCGGGTTTATCTGATATTGAACTTCGAATTTGCTTAACAGACCACATCTTCACAATAACAGGGTGCATTGCCAAAGGCAGCGTGTGGAGTGCTTGGAATCTCTCCCATCTCTTTCGGTTCACCTGTAAAAACATCTACGTGCTCCCTGGGAGTGCATCTGTGGCTAGTTTTAAAGAATGGCTACCCATGCAAATAGGCATCATTTCAGCATGAAATAATCTGTAAAAATCAAGAAAATGCTCCATGCTTACATGGCAACAATATGTTCTTTCTTTTTTTTTTTAATGACAAATATTTCACCATGCTGTGTTTGCTCTTGGTGTTTTTCTCTGAAGACAAAATGTTTTTAGAAGAGCCTGCTTCAGGGTATCCTGAGGCAAGGTGGTGGCTCTTTCTCGAGCTTTCTGTATGTCTGAGGGTAAAACACTTCAAGGCAAAATATCCTAAATTGAGGTTGGAGGTTGGGATCTCAATGACTTTAATACTGTGTTTGAAATTAAGTTCAGAATAAGAAAGACTCCTCGCCCACTAATAACACAGCTGATCTGGGTATGACAAAACCCAGCAACACATATTTTGCTGACAGCACATTGAGCCTGACAGGTAAAACAGGTGAGGCTGTCAGGTGAGAGCAAGAACAGGAAACAGGGACAATTTCTGAGTCACAGAAACACTTGGATATCGGTGGTTACAAGGAAGATTCTTTTGTACATATAGTAGCTTTCTAAAATCAGGGCTCTTTGCCATCTAAGATTTCTATGTCGTTTGTATGTGTGTGCAAACCTCTTTTCTCTCTTCGATATCGCCTGCAACGCACATGGACCTCCAGTGAAGACCGAAGAAGCTCCTTGCTGTCTCTTCTCCCCCTGTTCACCTTGCTACTCAGATTGGCCTTCCCTCCCACCCATTTTGGATTCTGAAGAACACCTCCGGCTCAGAGGCTCCCAAAGGACACGCCAGTGTGTGTGGACTAGCACAAGGTCACCCAGGCATCCTTCCTCTCCCAGCTGCCATTCACCTCTGTGTCAACTGCACTTCCTCTCATGTAGCCTAGGTATCAACAGCTGCATCCCTGCCTCATGCCAGAGCCAAGAGGAGGTAGGTAGGACGTTCTCAGGTAGGACGGGGCTACTCCTTTATCTTCAGCGGAGAATAAATATTAATTAAACATGTGCACTAGGCCCATTGAGATTCAATAACCTGTAACTCCCTCCAAATTCACCAAGCTAAATTGATTTTTTTTTAAAAAAAATGTGAATTGGGTATCATTTAAAAATTAAATAATGATTTATTTCCATTTTGGGCAAGGAGACTACAAATACCTTAGGTCTCTGTGTAAAATGTCCAACTGAGATATAAACAATAGGACAAAATAAATGGGAAAATTTATTTTATCCAGTAAGACAGGGAACTATGTTAATAGGTACACAATGATTTATTTTCCATACAGCTTAATATTTAAACAGAAATAAAAGGAGAGTCACCATACACTTCAGGGCCATAATCCAGGGGTATTATAGGCAAGATTAAAAAAATAATAGGTGGCTGACCTAGCACATGTCTAGCATATTTCACTAAACCAAATGTACAAAAATATATTTCCACATCAAAATGTACTATCAAGAGACCATGGTAAAATTAAAACCGCGAAGAACGTTTTCCAAGGGTTTCCTTCATTTCCAACCTGTAGTTCCCGGGACTTCATCAGCCACAGTGTCAACCCACTGAGGTACCCAACAACTTCACAGCTCTCAGCATGTGAGCCGAGCTGTGGTTTTCAACTCCAATTACTAGGGATTCTTACAATGTTTTCACTTTAACATTGACTTGGGGTTTAAGCAGGCAATATAAAACCTCTGGGCCAGGCCTGCTGAGAAATAAAGAAGATGGGGAAACCGTGATAACAGAACCGGGACCAGATGATTACTGCCCCAGTTCGTGTGCTTCAGAAAGCTCTCCTGAATTCATGTGGAAATCTATGTCCAAATGTTGAATTATCAGACACGTGTCATGTGCATCAGCATGCAGCCTACATGCACACTCTAACAGCACCTGTACAACAGACAGCACAACACGGCAGACGCCTCTTAAAAAAACCAGTGGGAAAACAACTTCAAGACACCAACCGAGTCAGCTCTAACTGCTCCTAATGGTGCCTCCTTGAAACTCAAAGGGCCTGCGTTCTGTTTCCCAAGGAGGAGCAACCAGAGGACATTGCTGACTTCACGCTGGAACAAATAACCTTCAGCAAAGAATTTCAAAGGAACACAATAATACAAAGCGAAGTGGCTCAGGGCTCAACTTTAATAAAACAAGTTATTTTGAGGAGGGGATGTGCAACTTTTACTACATCTATCTGGAGCCCAGATTCTAGACAAAGAAGTGTTTCATTATGGTAATTATCCAGATAGTCCAGGCAGATCTTTCATGAGCATGGAGAGCGTGAGGCTGGCATGGCTTCCTGCTTCCGTCATTTAGATATCTGTCTAGGTTGATAAAACTGTTTGAAGAAATGGCTTGGATTTTATTTCTTTTACAAAGACATCTTTAAGGGGCCTTAATGAGGTAAGCCGGTCATATGGCTTCAAATGGAGTATCATCATCAATATTTGAAGTCATTCTGAAAATCAGCCTGAATTCAACAGGGGAAAATCAGGTTTTTTGATTCACATATACACTAAGTCACTCGCTGACTCCTCCCTGCATTTCTGCTAATTAACAACTTTTAATTTAGAGATATTTCTACATGCTACGAGGCTAAGAAAACCTATTTGGCATAAGTTAATGCTTTAAAGAATTGAGATCTTATTGATAAAAATTTTACATTTTCTTTTACAATAAAAGGTTTCAAATCATCACCATTTCATGTGCGAGTCCTCCATGCTATCTGAAATTCCATTCATTTTTCACTAGAAAAATGAACACAGAACTCTTTCTGAGACCTGTCCAAGATATTGATTTCCACTTATTTCAAAGTTACAATTCATCAAATTGGGCAAACACAAGAGTGTGAGAAACAATCCTAAAAAATGCATTCACACTTTTTCTTCTTTTTGCAGAAAAACCAAAATACTCAAAATATCCCTTGAAGCTTTGGCATGCACTAGGCAATAAGATTGGAGAAATTTCTTCTATGTTTCCCTTCCAATTTATACAAATACTGAATTTGAAACCTATAACCACGGTCAGGCATAATCTGTTTTCATACCGTATAACATCACTAGCATTTTATAATTTCTTTGAAAATTCTAACTAGTAAAAATTTTAATATTGATAGCATATAGTTGAGGCCATGCTTGAAGTGATGCCGGAAATCTGTGAGAAGGGACTTTATGGGTTTAGAACAAATGAGAAGGAGCCTGGCAACTTACAGAGTGAGCTAGCTCAGGTTGAAAGGGTGCACAGCCTGCTCGCAGAGGGAACTAGCTAGCAAGTGAGCATGTGAGAACAAAGATGTGTGTCGTGTATGCACGACTTTTTCCCACAAGGTGGTGATTAAACTAAACAGAATCCTGCATCCTGGGCACACAGAATATCAATAAGTGCCAAACATGACTAACGCCTATCAAAAATAAGGCATATGAACATAGCCATGGATGACATTTTAATTATCAAATAATCTCCAAAAGCATATAAAGAAAGTGCTAGGAGGGGAGGGGTGACTGATGTCTAAGTTAGAAGAGTAAGTGACATATACCTGTCATGTTCATGGAAACAGAGATAGCCTCCAAATAACAAAACTAACCAACAAAGATTGTCTGCCATCTGATCTATCCCCATACAACTCAACTCAAGGAAGCAAACTGTTTAACCAGCAGCCTAGAAGGTCAAGTCTGGGAAGCCAGACACCCAGACACAGCACTTACACAGAACTCCCAACATCTTCCCGGGCACACAAGCAGGCTTTCTTTTTTCTCACTGCACGCAGCAGCCTGTTTCATTCGGAAACCACTCAGAAGTTCTTGCAAGAAACTCTTCATAGAACTGGCTGCCTGGGTCTTCCATCAGATCGCCAGAGCCGGGTTCCCTCTCACAGACTCAGCTTCTCCGTCTCCACCAAAGTCCTTTCTAGGACACCTGGCCCATGTCTGATACAGCGACAAGCCCAGTTCACTTCATGAGAGTATTTAACACGGGGCTTGAAAGAGTTTAAACACATACCTATTTTTTCTGGGCAGGGAGAAAGCCTACTACAAAGATAGGCTTTAGCAGTAAGTCACACTTGGGAACTGACTTCGGTATTTTGGGCAGTTACAAGCCACCCATTGCTGTCCAACACACACACACACACACACACACACACACACACACACACACACACA